TGTGTGTGTGTGTGTGTGTGTGTGTGTGTGTGTGTGTAAAAATGTCTTAACTTTTGGCTTAAAATGTCTTAATAATTTGTTAAAGATGACAGGCCAAGTTGCGTACACTGCATTGTGGGATAAAGTATTCCAGTCTAATTTATACTGCACATACTTACAAATGTCATCCGGGTTTTCCAATTAAACAGATAACAGGGTTGTTATATTTAACTAAATTAAATGAACTGAAATCAAATTAAATGTTTGTTTGTTTTTTTATTTAAAATAAACCAAATAAAGTAAAACAAATAAAAAGAAAGAAAGAAAGAAAGAAATACTATACAGACATATTTTTTAAAAATACTAAAACATTAAGTAAAATTAAGTGAAAACAGAAAATGTAAAAATAAAACTTAATTCAAAATATTAGCAAAACCTGTACTATGAAAACACTATTGGCGAAATCTGGGACATTTTACATTGATTTTTATGTATTATTAATGTGTATTTTCACTGATTAAATACATAAATAAATAAATGATACTAAAATAACACTAATGCATACTGTGCGTAATACAAAAATAGTATGAGTAGTAGAATAGTATGCTATTTCAAACAGCCACTCTTTCATGCATGTTTGATTGACAGCGCAATGCAAAAAATAATAATAATAATAATAATAATTCATTACATTTAAAAACTAAATAAAAATAAAAAACAATCACATTTGTTGACATTTTTAGCATAAAACACACAGCAACGTAATTCTTACTACTAGGGCTGCACAATTAATCGAATTTCTAATCGCGATTACAATTATGGATGCCACAATTACGTAATCGTTCAAAGCGGCAATTAATCGTTCAAAGTCCACTTATGTTATTCTGCGTGCTTAAGATGCATTTTTTTCTTTCTACATGTTATCTTTAGGGTAGGGTTTTTCCCATTATTTTAATTTTAGTTTTAGTATAACATTATAATACAATTCAAATTTTTACTTTTTTATAATTTAAAGAAGAAACCAATCCGATGTATAGTTGACATTTGAGGCTTAATACTATAGAAAAGCACAACGTTGTTCAGTTAGAGTGTTTTCAGCTTATTTTCATATAAAAATACGGCATGCAGTTGCATCAAACGATGGTATAAACATCATTCAATGTAAATTGTGATAATCGTAATTAATAATCGCAATTACAGTTTCAAGGGAATAATCGACAATTATGATTTTTGTCATAATCGTGCAGCCCTACTTACTACAACAACAAAAACACTACAGTATCATAGCTACCACAGTTAACCACGCTACGATAAAAATGCAGAACGGGCTGTGCAGATCAGAACAACCCAAACGCTTCAAGAAAAGAGACAGAGAGCTAACTAAAACTAATAAACAAGCAAACAAGAGAAAAAGAGGTCAAATGAACAGCGCTCCCTCTTACTGAGGCTTCTGGATAACCAATCAACCAGTTAATCTGTAAAACACACTCACACACACTTCTCCCAAACATAATGAGCAGCGATGGAGGTCATCTTTAACCTTTGACCTTTGACTCTTCTTACAATTTGTACTAGGTTGACCTTTAACCCATATCAAACTCAGTCCAAATGAAGCTGAACCTTTTAAAGTAAAGACAAAAACACACAAGCTTTGTTCCCACCTACATAGGCCATACATACAATACTCACCTCTGTTAAATACGGTTGTCACTCCTTCTCTAAACACTTGACCCTGTTCTGTACACAGAGTTCCGATATTTACTGAAGCCACAACCAAACTCACTCCTGAAACATTCAGATTGTGAAAACACCGCAAGAAAATGATTTTCTTACTTGAACTTGTCTTGTTTTGTTTTCCAGTACAAATATCTAAACATACTTAAATCAATACAGTACATTAAGTCTTAAAACTTAAGTCTTTAAAACTTAAAAACAAATATCTGCAGATGGGGACAGAAAAATGAACTTAATTCGAATGGAAAACAAGATTTGTCGTTTTTCAATTTTTCTTAAGCCATTCTTGGCAGATAATTTTCTTACGCAAGTCAAAAACTCAATTAATTTTGATAAGATTCTTATATAAAATGAGTAAAGTTAGGCATTAAGACTTAGTGTTTGAATAATTTTAGATATTTGTACTCGGTAAAAAAAATTATTGCTGCGATTAGTTATCACAAATTAAAATTCAACACTAAAATAAGTAATAATGTGTTGTTTCAACTTAAAAATTGTTGAGATAACTTACATTTCCAACTTAACTAAAGTTATCTAATTTAATAATTTTAAGTCAATCACAAACAGAATTTTTTCAAGTTGTTACAACTAATGTATGTTAGCATGTTGCCAAACTCAAAAAAAAATGCAATGCACACAGGAAAATGTCTTCAAAATAGTTCATAATCAAATTCTCTTTATCAATCAATACTGAATGAAATTTATTGGACAACATTTCTGTCAACTTGCAATGCATTCTGGGTTTGCCAAGTAACCAAGGTATCCAATATGGCAAGTAAATGAGGTTTTGGAACAGTCTGCTTACTAATTTCATGTTTACTTCACGTTTTCATTTAACTGGTGCATGCCATTTCAAAGTAAAAAGGTCTTTGTAATTGTTCATTAAAGTTTAAAAACTCCTATAAATATTGCAATAATTCCCCTATAACCACTGTTCTCAATGCAATCATTCCCTTCAGACTAAACACAGCCCCACCCTACATTATTTTGTTGAACATCCTATTTGACTTGGAAATGCATCACAATACAGAAGCAAAATAGTTTGTGAACACCATTTCATGTTGCTTTAAAATGCTCTCTAGGTAAGCAGCTTTGTACAGAACTACAGTGTTTTCACTTATTTTACGACTGTTTGTGATGCTCAAATGACAAATCCGATGCATTAAATCAGCAAACGCACATTCCCCACTAAAGCCATAATGGCAGCGACACCCTGACTAACACCCGCCAATCCATTCCATCTGTTACCCGGCCCACGCTACAAACTCATCTTCCAAATGTTTGCTCCTGTTTTCACAGCTGACAGGAGGGATGCGTTAGTCTGTTAAAGGAGCGTTTGTCAGCTTTCGGTTGGTGTGAGTGTGTGTTTTGATGCTATTAGGAGAGGTGAGTGTGTTGTCGCTGCCATTATGTGGTGTGTGTCATAAAGCGAGGTGTTGATCGTCCAAATGTGGAGGTGTAAGAATCAGCAGCAAAAATAGACCTTCAGCTGTCTGAACAACACACGCATGCTTTCGAATACAGTGATCACCTAAATAGCACTGACAATAGCACTGAAACTAATAAAAGCATAAACAGAAAATTAAAACAATGACAGACAAAGAGAAAAGTTAAAGATTAAAGTAGCACTTGCATATATATATATATATATAGATTTTTTTTTTAATACTAAAAATGATTAAATACAAGTTTTTTAATATATTTAAATTTTAAATTTAATTTAATGATTAATTTGATTTAGACTGTTTAGTGTGTGTAAAGTCATATTATACGGGTGAATATGTTTTGGAACAGATCTTGTATTTGTGTGAGAGACAGAATACCTCACCGGTTAGGGTTTGCAAGAGAAAGGTCAGAGGTCAGTGTAATGACCTGAAGAGACTGAGCGACCCCACACCTGCTTGAGATCATCCGTTTGGTCACATACCATCACACACACACAACATACACCAGTGTATCCTGCACCGCGTTTTAGCAGTGAACCACTGAATTCACAACTATGAATAGGCTATGAAAACATAAGGCAACATAATTCAACTAGTAATGTAATTTGTGAGTGAATCATTCATTTGAACTTTTTTTGGTTGGGAATGGAATACTACTTTTTACAGAATGTATACTGTGGACTGTATACACACACTCCTATAACATTTACCATAATGTAAACAAACACAAAGCACACTGCAGGAATGCTAGAAATATAGTATTCCACAATGCAATGCACTTGACCTTTAATGTTTAATGTTTTCATTGCAAAAGCTGCAAGATATGAAGACATTTTTACATGAAATAGGATTAAAAATACAAAATATCTGTTTAGTTCAAAAATTATGACTTGATGCCATTACAAAATGCACATTTTGAGTTTATGTGACAACAGTGTAGCACACTACTGTTTGAGGGAGTAAATAATGACAGAATTCCCATTTTTGCATGAAAACAATCAAAGTTTATCATCAAAATGTATCATAAAAGTGTTTAATTGCATTAAATGGGTGTTGTTTTGCATTTTCTTATTGCCTAGGATCAATGGAAATGGTCAGTGGCACACAGATAGCGAGGCAGAGTGAGTGTGTGTGTGTGTGCGTCGGTGGACTGTGAGGGGAATGTGTTAGAGTTCAACATGGGTGAATGGAACATAATCAGCACATGCAGGCTGCTCCACATCCATTCTGCGTAAGCAAAGACAAACACACACACACATTCACAAACTAACGAGGGCAATCGCAGCTCCGCTGCCACCTGGCTCATCCCTCCAATTAGGAATTCCCTAACGAGGTGCCAATTAGAAGAAAAGAATGAACGAGACAAAAGCAAAGGGTCACAGAGGGCAAAAAACATGAAACAGAGAGAGAAAGAGACAGACAACAAGGCGAGAGGAAGTGATGGCAATTACACAAGACAGAAACGTGTTTGTTTAGACTCTATTTGATCTATTTTTGCTTTTTCCTCATTATCGAGTTTAAAGGGCAAATGTTTGACATTTGGAAAGTGCTAAAAGTTGTCATGAATATTTCTGGATGGGTGGTATAGCGTTTAAATATCAAGATGGTAACTGAAAGGTTATAGTAGTGGTGGGCGAGATGACCAAAATCTTATTTCACAGTATGAGAATTTTTTTCACAATAACGATATATATCTCGATATAGCAATTTTTTTTGTTATTAAAAATAAGAAAAAGAAGCAAATTACAAACACAATAGAACAAATAAATATAAAATACACTTTTAATTTATTCAGTTACAGTAGGCTACAGTAGGTTTATTTAACATGTAGTAAGAAATATTACAGAAATTTAATAAAGTGTATAAATAAAACACTCCATAGTCTTCACTGTATCAATCAATCAAACATGAACTGATTCTTATTAAAGATCCAAAAGTGATTCAGTCAAGTGCAGTGAGTGATTAACATAAATAATGACAGACAGCAGCAGGTACTGTAAATTAGACTGCTGTCCCTTTAAGACCAACTGCACGGATCCAATATACTGATACACATCCGGTTTTCAACTGTTTATGCCAACTGTTTAACTGGCATTTTGACATAACTGTGTGCATATTTGACCATTTTGATTTCTGATCTGTTTTTGCGATCGCATGCTGTCTGAGAGAGGGGCTTTCTGTGTGTGTGTGTGTGTGTGTGTCAGTCAGCGCGAGCAGCGGATTGCTTATTGCGCTTAATAACTTTATTAAACATCATGCATGTCCCAAATTCACGATCGCATGCTGTCTGAGAGAGGCGCTTTCTGGGTGTGTGTGTGTGTGTGTGTGTCAGTCAGCGCGAGCACCGCATTGAGTTCTTTTTCACTGCTTATTGCACTTAATAACTCTATCAAGTGCATCCCACTTTTTATTTTCTCATTCATGCATGTTTCCTTGTCACTCAAAGGTAGTTATAACTTTTAAGTAGTATTATGTTACGCAGATATATTTGCATACCGCAGAATACACGATATAGCAAAATCTCTATAGACACTTTATTCTGCGGTAACGATACCGTCATACCGCCCAGCCCTATGTTACAGGTTCGAACCCTGAAAAAGCTTTGTTCATGATAAGCTGGTATGGATGGTAAGGCTGCACCACTATTAAAAATTTGGCCAATTTCAATAACCCAATCATTTCTTGATATGGCTGAAAACTATGGAAGCTTATTTTGGCCACATAATAATAAATGAAAAAAGCTAATTGCGACTTTTTAACTCAGTATTGCAAGTTATAAACTCATTAACTGCAAGTTTACATCTCCCAATTCTGACTTTTTTCTTAGAATTCTGAATTTACATCTTGCATTTTTGACATTTTTTTACACGTAACATGTCACAATTCAGATTTTATTTTTCAGCACGGCATAAAAAATAAAAAGAGGTAATTGCGACTTTATATCTCAATTCTAACTTTTTTTCTTCACAATAGCGAGATTATATCTTACAATCTGACTTTTCTTCTCAGAATTACGACTTTATATCTTGCAATTCTGAATTTATATCTCACAATTCTGAGAATTGAAAGCTATAAACTGGCAGAAATAAGCTTATGTAGAAAAGTGATAAATGGTCAATAAATTTAATAAATAGCTGATAAATTTAATATCTGATAAATGGCTGATAAACTAAAACATTAAAATACTGTATTACAATTTTATTAAAAATGATATTCATTCTAAACATTATCTTATGCATTTAACTTTTTTATTACATTATTAGTGGCAAAAGTGATCTAAATGTAAAAATAGGGGAAATAAGCATGTTTAATAACATTAATACTGGTAAGTAAAAAAATATCGGCTGGTAAGTAAAAAAATATCGTGAACAATGGGGAATTCACTAAGAATTAATTGTAGCCACTTATAATGTCATTTAGGCACCCAATTCACAAAAGAAATTAAGTAAATCACATAATGACATAAACATACCCACAAAATGTTTCAGTCTGGACATAAAACCATTAAAACTGTTTTTACAACTGCACGTCTCAGAAAAAAAAAATGCAAATGGATCCTGATAACAACTCCCACACAGGCAATCCACTGGAGGTCAGGACCTCTGAACATGACCTTTGACCTCTGTCTTAGGATCAGTCAGTCAGAGCACTGTGAAAAAGTCGACTGCCTCTGAAAACATATAATATCCCACCCGGAAGAAAAGAAAGATATGAACGGAGCAAAGAGACCAAGAGGAGAAAGGATGAGGAACTGAAGCATGCATCTGTGTGGATATCGGTCAGCTTAGTCTGGACACAAACCGCCCACTTAGACAGGAAGAGATTGTTTGAGTGATATGTAAATGTACCAAATTAGTTTTGTCTTTACATGTCATTTAGAGGCGGGCTTATCTGAAATAGATTGTACCATATACAGGTGTGGAAAAATGAATTGAGATTGTATGATAACGTATTTACTTGCTGCTAAATGCTTCAAGCAAAACTGCGAGTATCGCTGAAAGATTTGAAGCCACTCACAGGTGTTCACTGTAGCAGCCTGGGAATTTATACATTTTGTGCACACTTCTTGAATGTCTGCTTAGCCCCTGCTAGTTAGATGCAGTCCCTACCATAATACTACCAAAAAAAAGCATCTCTCATTCAAAAGTAGTCATATATTCTAACAAAATATAAACGTGTTGCAAACAGCAAACACATTGCGAATAAAGTTTTGGGACATTGGCCATAATTGCAACAGCGTATGCATCTCTCATTCAAAAGTAGTCATATATTCTAACAAAATATAAATGTGTTGCAAACAGCAAACACATTGCGAATAAAGTTTTGGGACATTGGCCATAATTGCAACAGCGTATTAGCATACTGTCACAGTTATGGACTTCTTTTGTTGTGTTTTCATTTTAGTTTTTGTCTTCATGCCCATTTTGACTTTGACCTAGTTTCTGTCTCTCCTTTGATTAGTTCATTCAGTTCACCTGTGTTCGTTAATCATCTCATTAGTTCCCTCGTTTAGTATCTGTATAAGTTCTCCCTGTTCTGTTCAGTCCTTTGCCGGTTATTAGTTTGTGGATTTGCTTTTGCTCTGCTCTGCTGGATTTTCTATGTTTCCCTGTGGATGTATTAAAAAAAAGATGCAAGACTGCACTTTTGTGTACCTATTTTATAAGCAAGGAATTTGCATCCCATGAAACATTGCGAATAATGTAATTGATTCAAGCAGTACAAAATAAAACTACTGATAGAATTACTGATTATTGTAAATTATACAGTGTATATATATATGCACACACATATACAATATATATCTGTAGACACTACAGTTCAAAGGTTTGGGGTTTAATGTTTTCTAAAATCTCTTGCTCACCACGGCTGCATTTATTTGATCAAAAATACAGTAAAAACAGAAATATTGTGAAATATTTTTACAACGGTTTTCTATGTTAATATATTTTAAAGTGTAATTTTTTCCTGTGATCAAAGCTGAATTTTCAGCATCATTACTCCAGTCTTCAGTGTCACATGATCCTTCAGAAATCATTCTAATATGCTGATTTGCTGCTCAATAAACATTTCTGATTATTATCAATGTTGGAAACAGTTGTTCTGATTTATATTTTTTGTGTGAAACTGTGATAAATTGTTTTTAGGATTCTTTGAATAGAAAGTTCAAAGAACAGCATTTATTTGAAATAGAAATCTTTTGTAAAATTCTAAATGTCTTTACTGTCACTTTTGATCAATTTAATGCATCCTTGCAGAATATAAGTATTAATTTCTTTAAAAAATATGACTGACTCGATTGTGGCATTTGCTATGCTTTATGGGAGTTTCTACAGAGGTATCTCCATCCCTTAATCTCAGATGCTCACAACAAATCTGTCATGAAACGTTTATACATTATCATCCCAAATCACTTCATCAATGAGGGAAATTAATGAGATTTTACATCCAGAACCCGACTGTTGTGCTCTGTTTCCAAAGACACGCAACCCCGGTGTGTGTGTGTGTGAGAGCAGGTGGTGGAGTAGATCTAGGGGTCAGCAGTCGTGCTTCAACTCCCAAATATAGAGCGTCCATGTCACTGACTACGAGACATAGATCTCATATCATGCGGAGACCTCGGCACAGTCGACCCTCTCTCTCCCGTTCACACTACCGTCTTTATCTGGCCTCCACAGCCTGGCATTCAGAGTGGTATCATGTGTGTAGTGTTGTCTGTCTGTTGTCTGTACACTCACCTGAAACATGAAACCAGCTCGCGGCCCCCCGAGCATGACCTCTGACCTCTCTTCCTCTCTACAGATATGAGACTCCTGCCCGCTCGTTCTGCTAATACAGAGCTTGTTTGCGCACATATAGGTTATGGTGTACCTAAAGCTTCCGTGTTGATCGCGTTACGGAGGTATAAACATTACCGGTAACAGCGGGGTCTCGACCAGCAGTGGACACATATGTAAGGTAAAGCTTTGGAGTGTATGTGACTGTGTTTACCTGCACACGTATCGCTGTCCCCCATGCATTAGCTCCCACAAACCATCCAACCCTGAGCGATGGAAATCTGTAGGAACACACATAATAATATGTTTTACAAAGGCAAGCAACACGATTTGAACAAATATTAAACTTTAGCGTATAACGTGCTGTACCGTTTGATCAATGGACAATAAAACAGGAAAACTGGTCACATCTAGAGACTGGAAAACTAGAAAATATTTGTCTCAGTTTATATTTGGCCTTATAAAGTATAATACTTTATGTCGGATTGCCAATGCATATATTTAGACAAAATATTTTTTTTAATGTATGGCACTTGCTTTGATACAAAATATCATAATATCTTTTTAAAAAATAAATGAATTTGCTTTTGGACTAGCAACGGCACAGCCAACCACTCTGGAACTGAAGTTTTATATAGCAAGATTTCCTGTAATCCAGTGAAATTGTTATGTGAAATCCAGTGTTATTGGTTCCTAAAAAATCTAGTAAAATCTAAAAAAAAAAAAAAAAACTTAAAAAAATCTTTACAAATTTTTATCTTAAAAAAATATTTAATTTTTAAATTATTAAAATTATTAAATTATCTATAAATATAGTGTAACCTAGTGTTCCTATTTAAGAAAAATATACAAAAAATATTTTTTATTATTTTGTAAAATCTATTAAATATGTGAGATCTCTCAAAATGTAATAATCAGCTTTTATTCATTCCTATAAATGTTTTTAGTGTTAAATAAATGCAAAAAAAGTGACATTGTAAGAATGTGTTTATTTATTTTGGTTTCTACCCTCCGTTCAATGTGAAGTTTAATGTCTTCAAACATCCAGATGGTTTCCTGCTTAAAGGTTGGAGATTTGAATATCATGGTTCAGAAAACGAGCAAAATCTGCTACCAAAGTATGGTGCACCAATCGACTGAGAAAACCGTTAAAAGGGTCATTGGCTGATTATTAGCTGCCTGATGCTGTTGATTTCTGATGTCATGTCACTGCATGTTTCCACCAATCAGATACAGAAAACATCTAATGCGAAACACAAGACATCAGACACAACCACATCAGCACCAGTCACAAGTCAGTCAATGTAATCGAATCTGTGAAAGACATCCCTTTCATACTAAGATAGAGAGAGAGAGAGGGTGGGTGGTGTTTAAATTAGCGCTAATTCAACATGGGTTATAACGTGTAGGGCAAAAACAAATATTTTTTGCACATTCACAGCTTTGTCCGTCTCTCAGACACTGAATTTAATGCTGTTTATCAGTGAAAACATTTGGCATCATAAAGTATTTGAACACTTAATGTCATTGCATTAAAAAAAATTACTAATAATAAAAGAAAAGAAAAAGAAAAGAAAATAAATATATATATTTTTTTCCAAATAAATGACACTTGATTTGATTCAAAATATCATAATACATGTTTTTTATTTAAAAAATGATATCTGCTTTGATACAAATATATGCTTTTTTAAAAGACACCTACTTTGATACAAAGCATCATAATATATTTTAATGATAAATTACATTTGCTTTGATATAAAAAATGTAAAAAATACAAATACTGTAAAACATTTTGATACAAATGTTTTTTTTAAATAAATGACACATGATTTGATACACAATATCATTAATATATATAATAAATTACATTTGCTTTGATATAAAAAATGTAAAAAATACAAATACTGTAAAACATTTTGATACAAATGTTTTTTTTTTAAATAAATGACACATGATTTGATACACAATATCATTAATATATATTTTTTTAAATGACACCTGCTTTGAAACAAAAATATTAAAAAATGACTCTTGCTTTGATACAATATATCCTAATATCCTTTTAAAAATTGCATTACACCTGTTTTAATACTAAATATCATAACAACTTTTTAATAAATGACCCTTGCTTTAAAAATTTTTTTAAAAAAAGCATTCAGTTTTAAGTGTGACCTAATTATCCAAATATTTTTGGCGTCATTGTCCCCGATCTATATAAATGACTCTCTATTTGTAAATGTTCTTTATTATAGATCAGTGATCACTGTATAATAGATGTGTCTTTAATATGACACATATGAATGATGGAAATGCAAATGAAGCATGAAAAAGACACATGTGTGTTTGTTTGTATCGATAGAGAATTTGACAAAAGAAAAGACGATGCAAATCTTCCAATTCATGTCATTTTCTGATGCTTTTTAGTGGCGAGCGCTTCAAACAGGTGCACATCCTCCATTTTGCAATTACCCACAATCCTCTACTCATGACTCAGCCAGCTGTTACTGTGCAAACCTGCAGCTCTGAATAGTGCAGCGAATCAGCCATGTATTTCAACGTCTGTGGGAATGTTTTGGCCTATTTTATTGTCCGCCAAGTTTAATCGCAAAACAATACACAGCACAGAACAAGGTGTGTCTGTTAACACTCTAGAGGAAAAGGGAAACACACAAACACACAGACACACACTTCAGCCATGCTGAACCACAGGGGAAAGACTTCACAGTGCACTGGCTTTTACGGCCGTCCCGTTTGGCAGTTGGGTAAAATATTCCAGAGCTAAAATTAGCAGCACGGCACAAAGACCCTCATTGAGAAGGACGGCTGGCACGGAAAGCTAAATCACAGCAAACCTGTCCAAACTGTAAGACAGCTCAACAGCTCCCGACGGTTCACCACAAGACCACATCTCCAGATAAACCATCCTGAGAGCGAGGTGAATCTGATAGCGCCTCAATCAGACACACTTCAGACTCCGAATCCGTCTGATGACACGCTCTAATCCTTAGCACCACAACAACGGTTACCTTGGAAACTCCAAGGATTCCCTCAGAAGTCCCGTCCCGAAGTGTGTGTGTCTCGCAGACGTCTCTATTTCAGCGCGAGTCACTGAAGGATTATACTCACATCTCTTCTTTCACACTGAGCTTTAACACACACAGAACAACATTCGCTCTGTTGAAAGCTGCTATTGTTCGGGTAGATACTTCAGAACAATAGAAGCCATCAGCAAAACTTCACAACACCTCTAATATATCAGCCTATTACACACTACAAACTAGTACACTGAAATGGGTTCATCTATCTGAAGAGCAGGGTGGCAAAAATGCTAAATCAGCCAAACAGAAAAGCATAATCAGATGTTTGTTCACTCTCTGACATGTATCTTATATTTACTTATTGACTTAAAATAACAAAACTATATGTCTTGTCGCAAATTAGACACTTATTAAATGAGCACTTATTTTTATAAAAATATTAAAGAATATCAGAGTTCATTACCACAAAAAATGATATTCTTAAAAAGAAAAAAAGAAGAAAAAAAAACAGTGAGACACTTGCAATAAAAATGAATGAACAAGGCCAAATAATCACCGTTTCAAAAGTATGGCAACTAAATGAAATAAGTTTAAGTAGAAGTACTTATAAACAAAACTAAAATAAAACTAAAAACGGGGGAAAAATGCATTAAAGCTATATAGAAATAGAAATAAAAAATAAAAATGACAAAAAAACTAAAATAAAATAATTAAAGCTATATAGAAATATAAAAAACTAATAAAACTATATAGAAATTTTAAAAACGTATAATAAACAAACAAATAAAAATTATTTAAAAAACCTAAAGACTGAAATAAAAATCAATTAAAGCTATATAGAAATATAAAAAAAATTTTAATGACAAAAGCACATAATAAAAGTACTACAACTTAACCCAAATTTAAAATAAAAACTGAAAATATAAAAATAAAAGCTAATTAAAACTATTAATAAAATCATAATAGGATATAAATAATACTAACGTAACATGGTTATATTCAATTTTACAACTTTGCTTGACAGTGTAATGTAATAAACACTAATAACAAGACAGTAAAATTATTACATAAACAGCTTTTCAACTTCATATACAGAAGTTTTAACTGAAAAAAATGTAATGTTTTGTAACTGACAAAAAAATTATGTGCTTTTATAAAATTAAGCTGTTTTATCGTCCAAAAATTAGCCCCATTCATTTCCTTTGTAAATGTCTTGCCATAACCTTGATTTTTTTTGTTAATAAAGAAAACAAGGCAAATACTGTCTATTGAACTTAACTTCAATTAAACCAGGAATATTCATGGCAGATTTACACTCTTTAATTCTTAACCTGACCATTTTGACCCATTCAGACCGATTTTTGACCAGTTATAAGCATGAAACGTGCACATTATTGCATTTACAGACTGATCAGCCATTTTCACCGTTCCCCCTCATAATCACACCACATTTTAATGAGAACACAATGAGCCTGAAGGAGACAAAAGAGATGCTGAAACTTTATCAGATGGAGGCAGCAGCACCAGTTTCCCTGTATGACACACAAGCGAGCGGGTGTGCATGTGAAATGGATATATACAGCACAGGCCCGGACTGGCCATCGGGAGCACC